TTATTTATTTTCTTAGTAGCAGCCTCTAAAATATCTGAAATCTCTTGTTCACGCTATGAAAAACAAATTAGTGTGGGAATTATGATGTCCCTTCGAGAAAAGAGAGTAGCATACAAACTTTTTGTATAGGGTGCAAGCACATTGTAGATGAAACCTACACTTCGGATGCCCACAAAATGTGACTCAACATATCCTCTTCAGCAACAACATGATGTGCCTTATAAGACAAACTCCTCTTGAATGGTACACAATGGTAATAGGTAGAAGAAGCATCATCATATACAAAAATGAGCCATTAATGCCAAAAAAGTTTAATAAAAATAAATTGAAACTTGCAGAGAGTTCAATTATTATTGTTATAAAAATATATGAAACTTGGGTTTGTTAAAAATCAAAAACAAGAGAAACAAGATTAACATGTTATAAGTATTTTACCTTGGAAGACAAGCTCCTGCTAATCAAATATTTCGAAAGTACACAATGGTGATAGGTAGAAGCAGCATCAATAAGACCAAACATCATTATCTACACGAAGTGACCCAGTGATGTCACAAAGTGACCCAGTGATGACAAGCTCTTGTTTATGACTTTGGTTTGTGAAAAATCATAAACAAGAGAAACATGATTAAGTTAAGCAACCTTGTAATCGATGTAGAAGAACCCTTCAAAGATCGACCCATCATCAATAGTTTCATGAGACATATGTTTGTTTACGACTGTGGCAACAAGTCTGATTTGCGAATCTTAAGTAGCACTAATATGCAAATCACTATTGCACTGATATTGTACTCCACTCTGCTTACTTTATATTTTTGTTTGGTTTGATTTGAATTCTCTCGCTAATTTTTATTTGTTATAGATTTGGGGAAAAATCTTCACTCGGTAAGGGAAACTTCAAAAGTTTCAGGGTTGATAATGTTGGCATCAACAACAGTAAGCACCTGGTGAATGGACCTCATTAAGTATTTGTTATCTTAAGATTGTGAAAACTTGAGTGTATTGAACAAACTCTCCATCAAAGGCACCACAAACTCTGACCAATCACTAGCAGTCCATGAATAGTTTATTTATGCATATTGCTACATATGAGTGGACAAAATTAGATCTTTCTTAAAGCATCAAACATGACACATCTAACACTTTCGGTCTCCACATCACTATTACAGGACTGTGATGGACAACCATTGTCAAGAACCATGAACTAGTGGCCTTGAGCATTGAAAAACTGTTGCAGGGGAGATTCAACAACTTGAAGATGCGTTCTGTTGCGAATCTTTTAGCTTCAAGAATTGACCCAACTATACATGCTGCCAAGAGTATTTCACCCTCTTTTTTTCACCATGTCTTTGCAGCCAACAAATTGTACATGGCGTGAAAGCATTCTTGTCTCGAAGTGTAACTTGTTATGAAAACTCTTCGAATTAGACGACATGCGCTTCTTCTTTTGCCTTGTGCATCGAATTCCTCATTCATATATCTCTTGTAATTCGTCCTAAACCTTTCTTCATCCTCATGGCATAAGAATATAGTTGGAAGGACAAAATTGTTGAGTAATTTTCACACCCTGTTCTCTTTCTCAAGGACTGTCCCATCGACACGAATCACCTTCGTGAGTGATTCTATATGCTCCACGCGAATCCTCGGGTAATCCAGAAGATTCCTAAAGCCCAAATACTCATCATCATGCAATGGTTTCTCTTCCTTGGAGTTGTGGTCGTCGTAGTAGTCATCTAGGTAGCTATCTTAAAGTGCGAGAAACCTAGTAGCCGACTGATTTTCCTTGTGCTTTCTCCTTCCATCAGCTCGATCATTGATTCTATCGAGTTTATCGTGAGTAAGATCACTAGGGGTTTTTTCTGTAACCATTAAAAGAAAAAGAAAACCAACGATTATAATGTTATTTGAGTTATGGCTTCCTTAACCACCAATTATAATAGGAATAAGTCATTTACTTTGTAAGATAAGGAGACTCATGTGACAAAAATACGAAGTAAGGAGAGTCGAGTACAATATCAGTGCAATAGTGATTTGCATATCACTACTACTTCAGATTCGTAAATCAGACTTGTTACAGCAGTCGTAAACAAGCATTTATCTCATGAAACTTTTGAAGCGAAATCGCTAACGACAAGAATACATGTTTTTAAAAATCCTGGTTTTGGGGATTTTTCCACATTTGTCTAAAGAGCTCAATCAAGAAAATTTCAATGATATCACTTCATTAGATGCTCATTTTAATCAGACCCTAGAAATTTTAAACCTTGAAAGGTTCATCATAAGGGACAACACATCAAAAACATAAATCCATGTTTTCCACCGTTTTTCTTCATAAACAAGATCCCCTTGACACAATCTATAACGTATGAGTGAACCGCATTGGACTTTGCTACAATGTTCTTAGTCATAAACTGTCTAACTGATAATTAACTTGACAAACAACCGCAATCAATAATTTCGAAAATGCAGCTCTTACAATTGGAGTTTTGTTGACAACACAGAGTAATATATCATTTACTTTTATGCGGTTACTATAAAAGAAAAAACGATTTGGTGTAATTTTTATCTAGAAAGTCTTATATATTGGGAGAGAGTGAGAGAGTAACTAAAACCTATTTGGTGTAATTTTTTATCACTAAAAACCATATTTTACAAATGGCGATTCTAATCACTGAAATTAACTTGGATTCAGATCGAAAATCTAGATCACTAAAATTAGTGGTTATTGTGGTAGTGATCAAAATCCTAGAATCCTAGTAGATAGGGCCTGACTGACTACAAGAATAAGAAAATCACCAAAATTATGTTGACTTTGTGAAATCAAATAAAAGTAGACCCGACTTGAGTCAACGTTAGTTAACAACCGTCAAACTTGAAAGTTAAACGGGACACCTGAGATTAATTTCAATTTAAGAAATGGGAAATCACACTTTACATTACTGAAAAGGCATCTAATTCATTATCTAACGTACAATAAATCAAAATATAGTAACTAACAATATGAGGTTTTGAATTTTCGGTTTTACCCTTCATGAAAATTATCAAAGAGATCAATATAGTTAACTGTGTTCGGA